TCAAGGGTGTCTTTTAAAAAAAAACAACAAAGTATTTTGGCCTTCTTTGTTGTTGTTTCAAGTTTTCTAATTCAATTAATTAAACCTTTCAAGCCTAGAATCTCCTGTGAGTCCTGGAGAGCCGCCCCCCCCGCCTTGATTCAGCCCCAACGTTGCTTTCAAGAGACCGACTCCATTCGCTTCCCAAAGTGGCTCCCCAAGGGGTTCAAACCCCCCCACCAAGCGGGGTTCTCCTTTCTTTCTTTCCTTCCTTCTTTCCCTGCAAGGGGAGTGGAATGAGGCCTTATTAAATTCCTGCAATTGAATTCGCTTAAATTCCCTCCAAGTACGATATTTTGCCTGACAAGCTCTGTCAAGAAAAACGGCTTTCGTCTCACTAATTAAGACATTTCTTTTGACAGGCGGGATTGTGTTTAAGCTCCGTGTGTTGTACACAAGCTAATAATTTAATGTTTTTTTTCTTCTTCCCCCCAACGCAACTAAATATGCTGTAGCCAGAAACTGTCAAAATAACAGAAGATTCAAACTTTGGTTTGAGTTTTGAAGAAATGCAAAACCAAAGCAGGGAAAGGATATTCCTCTGGGTAGTTGGCTCTGCCTCCCTTTATCTAAAAAACACGACGGGAAAAGCTTCAAAACTTTGCAGCTTCTGGCCCTCTCCAGATGCACTGGGGCTCTGCTTTCCAGATGGAGGCAGCCTAGCCAAAGCTGGCTTGGGACGGCGTGAATGGCCATCTCGACACATCTGGGGGAGGCCCCAGTCTGGCCATGGTCCAGGAGATTAGCTCTTCTCTGCAGGGAAGAGACTTCATTTCAGGGCTAGAGAGAGAGAGATGTCCTGAGGCTTTGATCAGCAAGTTAAGTTCTCAGTGTACTTTATTTTTCAGACCCACATAATTTCCGTCTCATAAATTCCGCATCGGCTCTCAATTGTGGTCACTATGCTACATGGCGGTTGGGTTGCGATAAGGCTGGGGCAAACAAACTGGTTAGGGACCTCCTGCTCATTCCTTCCTGCCATAGGTGGTCTCCAGCATT